AAACCTTCAGCCGTTAAAGTAATTAACACAAATTCCAATTCAGTGCATTAAAATAAATGATCTTTTGGAGGCCTTGTGTAACATTGCCTGTAAATAGCAATTCCTATTGACAACTAACAACAACCAAAAAAAAATTACCAGATTATCTCAATTCTGAATCAAGTTTTAACACATTTTCAACAATCTCAAAATTGCAATATAGTTTATAATCAGTGTATGCTTTAATATTTTCTTTTTTCCCTCCTCTGAAAACCGTTATTAAAGTAATGGTGGATCTTCTAATTGATGGTATGTTTGAATCAAAGAAACACAGTGGTAGGCATTAAAGCCTGCCTTCACTTCTGTGTGGGAGCTGCCTAGAAAAGTATTATGATGTGGCTTTTTCAACCATTTTTATAACTACTGTGTAACTTTGTATTATGAAAATTTAAAAACATGAACAAAAAATAGTTTAATAGAATGAACCTCCATGTGCCCAATTACACAGCTTCAATTGGCCAGTCTTATTTTTCACTTTCCCCCACTTCTTGCTGTTTTTTTTGCCAGGGTATTTTAAAGAAAGCCAAGGCATCATGTCATTTCACTTTGCAACTCACACTCAGGACATTTTCAAAAATATAACTAACACGTACTATTGTCCCTAACAACAACAACGATTTCTTAGTAATTATATCTAGAGCCTACTATACATCTTGTTAAAAAGACTTCCCTAAAACAGACCAAACAAGTTGTGTCCAGAAGCAGCGAGTTTTTCCATAAAGAATGTATTTTTTATGAAAACTAAGCCAGAAAAGTAAGAGTTAGCAGGGTATGGGATTTCCTCGTCATGTCCACTGTCTGCACACAGCTCCTTCTGTCCTTACTCTTCCTGCTTGAATTCTAGCAAATGGCTGGCTTATTTGTTACCTTTATGAGCAGGTTAGAAAATTTGTAAATATGTCTGCAGATTTCCTTTTGCTCTTTCATATTCTGAGTGCAAACAATTTAGCATTGGATAAAAAGTTTCCTTGACATGTGCTCCTACCTGTTGGCTTCACAGCAAGCCCTGGTGGCACAGTGGTTAAGAACCTGGCTGCTAACCAAAAGGTCAGTGGTTTGAGAAAGATGTGGCAGTCTGCTTCCGTAAAGATTACAGTCTTGGAAACCCTATGAGGCAGTTCTACTCTGACCTATAGGGTCACTATGAGTCGGACTCAACAGCAAGTGGTAAGGAACAACAGCATCTTATGTGGCTGCTCAACAGAATGAGATACCTTTCAGATTCCTAGTCCTTAATTTGGGGCTGGTTCTCACTTCCTCCTTTCGTTTCCAGTGGGACCCAGGGAAGCTGCTCATCTGATGTTTTCTTTTCATTGGCCTTTCAGTCCGAGACTAGATCTGCATCTCCCCAGCTTTATGATGATGCAACAGGATAATCGTTTTATAAAGACTCAGAGAATAAAGGATTTGAGAAAAATGGAGCTATAAAAATAAGTCAGTGTATTTTGATACAACCACATACATTGGAAAAATGAAAATCTTGCCAGAAAACCAGGTTCTCATCCTGAATCTGGGATGAAAGAGAAGCATATTTGTATTTCAAAACGTATACTACTGGTCAAGTCCCAAAATAAAGACCGTCGAGGAACTGCCCAACCATTTGTTGTTCCAGATTTTACTTCAGTTGTTGTTTAAAACAATGACGTAGAAACAGGACTTATAAACATCTTCCATATGAAGATATTTAATTGTAACACTATTTGTTATAACAAGATTGGTTCTGAATAAAAATAATTTACTCTCTTTATACACAGAAGTTGCACTGATCCACCATTAATAAGCGTTACTTCTTGAGGACTTTTTTGTCAGAGTAGTGATGAATTTCCTCAGCTCTGTCTCTTTATTTTGGCAGATGTTTGTGAGGTTGCTCCCTGGGGTGAGGTGGGAGGGCCTTGGTTGCAGAATAGCCAAGCTAACTAGGGGTGGGAGTAGTTTTGGTGTTTTGCTTTAAGGCACCTAAATGAGTTGACTAGTCTTAGAAGGCAAGCACTCAGTGAAACCTTCTTCATTGGGGAGCTGGCCTACCTCTGTAGTGTGAAACATATTTTAATATCAGAACTCTTTTTCTAATTAAAAAAATTACACCAAACACCAACAAATATAACAGGAAGAATAGTGAAGCTCTTATAGGTTATAGGAGAGATGCGGGCCCAGCGTCCTGTTTGCTCAGCCTCTACCCCTCCCCTAACCAAGGTCTCTGACAACCTTCCCCATTCCCTTACCCCCAACACCCGAAAAATCCTAAGATTCCTAAGAACACGGTTTGAAAACCAATGACATATATGAGTTAGTGAAAAGTCCAAATTATTAATTTCAAAAACTAAAATTATTAATTTTTAAAAATAATTTTAGATCAAACTGCTAAAACAGACTTTGTAGATCAATGCCCTTTATACATGCTTTTAAAAATGTACAAAACCAATGCAAATTAGTAGCACCTATTCAGATAAGTCCAGCTAGCTTTAAACACGGTCTTTCCCTCAAACCTTGGCTGGGACCTCACCTCCAAGAAGTCTTTGTGAAATGCCTCCCCCTCAGCCTGAATTCAGTGTGCCTCCTTAGTGCTTCTGAAACCCTGTCCGTTTTTCTATCGGGTACTTCCAGTAGTATTTTATGATAGTCTATATATCTTCTCTTCTACTAAAGAATGAGCCCTTCGAGGACAGAAATTGTTCTTGCCTTATTTACCTTCAGCTTCTCAGCACCCCTCACAATGCCTGGCACATAGTAGGGGATCAGTAAATACGTAGTGTGTCCTTGTCTTAGGCTGGGTTCTCTAGAGAAGCAAAATCATATATATACAGTGCTGCAGTGGTTAAGAGTTCGACTGCTAACCAAAAAGGTCAGCAGTTCAAATCTACCAACCACTCCTTAGAAATCCTATGGGGTAGTTCTACTCTGTCCTATAGGGTTGTTATGAGTTGGAATTGACTCGACAGCAACGGGTTTGGTTTTTGGTTTTA